CAAACAGTTCCAACAGATAACGACTGCCATTAATGTCAAGCAAACCGATGTCGGCGTAAGAGATCTGCAAATAGTGTCTAAAAACGACATCCAATTGCTTAAAGAGGGCGAAAATGAGAAAACAAAAACATATAGAGCTCTCTGTTGTCTGAGCCGTGCGCTCACGGATGCGGACATTGAGTTGTTATCGAAATGCGAATCCTTTGCGATCGATCAGAAGACACCGATTCGTGTATTACATCGGCGGACACTTTCTGTGCGACAAAAACATGTCTATAAGTTGACGGCTGAGAGAGTGACCGAAGAGGTGGTGAGCGACGAACACAAGCCATTCATTGATCGTATATTTTATCTGAATCTGACGGCAGAGGCGGGAACTTATATCAAAGAGTTTGTGCACTCGGACTTTGGCCGCACTGTCCCGTCGTTGGCCACAATCTTAGGCGGCGATTGTGCCGCTGATATCATACAACTCGATGTTATGGTATTTATTGAACTTATTTATTAATAAGTTATACAAATCTAATGGCTTTTTAATTGAATTCTTAAGGAAATAAACATCGATTGGCCGCCAGTTGTCGACTATGAAGACCAGAAATAATGTTAAATGATATCTATTTTTATATTTTCAATAAAATTTAAATTATTATTGTTTAATAAAGAAAATGATATAAAACTTTGTTTAAGTTTATTTAGTTAGAGAGAGAGAGAGAGAGAGAGAGAGAGAGAGATTTAATAATGTAAAACTAGTTAAACAAAATGTTATATCCATGTGATTGAAGTATTGATAATTTATTGAAACGAGAAAATAATTGTGTTTTCAAATAATGAGGCAATTGTTAGAAATGTTTGACGAGTTTTGTGTGAAAATAAAGTGTTGAATAAAAAGATGATTTGTATTGAAGTTGTATTGAAGTACACGTTATAATAAGCGGTTTCTATGACTACAACACAAACATCACATTATTTACACCAATATATTGTTTAAACGATTGGAAATTAAAACTAATTTCAATCAAAATTTTGTTACAA